GCATTTTGGATCCTCTGGAGCTCAGTCAATTGGCTGTCAGCACCTCATTGCAATGGTGGGGCTTGTGTTGGACGATTCTGCTTGACTGGCACTCAAAGACCATCACTCTCACATCTGAATTGACCACGATAAGGCTTCATTACCATACGTTTATTTTCTCCTATTGAGGTGGGCTGTCTAAAACAAAGGCCAGTTGATTATTTTGCTTGATCATTGTACCATTCAATGCGACCGATTGCAAACGGAAGGGAAACAATGGGCTTTCCCAGAGGATCCCGGAGGCTGACATGCATACAGTAACAGGACTGGTGACACTGACGCGAGATCAGTGCGGCCAGGCCTGACAGTGCACCCATGGGATGCACGAGAGCTCAGAGACGCTGAATCGGAGACTGTCAAAGCTGTCCATGGGTTTGAATGGATGCAGTCTACTGAGGATTTTGCATATCAGCGGTTCGTCACTGTCAGACAATAGCAACGTATTTGGTTGCTGGACAACATTTGTGTTATATGTAATATTACATGCTACTAATACACTTTGATGTATTGTAAAGCAATGGGGGGGGGGGGGGTTATTGTCATACTGTATACATCTAACAAAACAAAGCACAGAAAAAAATTAAAATATTATAAACTCCCTTTTGAATAGGTTGTGTTTTTGATGCTAATTCCAATGTATTAAATGCTGGTGCTTCCAATATAGAGTCGTGCAGGTATATGTCAGAACCAGGAAAATTCCCTGGTGGTTCCTTCAAGATTTCCCTATGGGGTTTTATTAATCTTCTGGATTATTGTATATTGTCTAAAGGCTCAATTCAATTTTTCTATTTCAATTCGAGCTTTGTAGGGTTAAAGGCAGGGTAGGCAATATTTTTCAGAAAACACTTTTTGTTACTGAAGCTGCTTTGATACAATCTGTATTGTGAAAAGCGCTATATAAATAAATGTGACTTGACTTGACTTATTCTTTCTTCACATCCTGATAGCAATCAATTAGTGGTCTAAATATTAAAGTCTCAGGACCAAAGAATGTTTGTCCAATCATTGCGTTCAGTCTGAATGCCTGTCAACACATGTTCACATTTTTTTTTTTTTTGTGTTATTCGTATCCGTAGTAAGCATTTACAAACATTTCTGCTCATGCCGGCATCACACGTCATCAGCACGTTTCATGAGCCTATATGGAGAAGTGTAGACAAACAGTCCCTGAGCACCGTTTGTATTAATCATTACACAAATTACTAATACAAACACTTCTAAGCAGTGATTTCATTGTAGTATGCTAGACTAGAGGTGTTTGTATAGTGGATTATTGTACATGGAAATTGCATTGAATGGTACAATAGCAACACAACTAAGAAGGAAAGAAAACATGGGATTACATGTGGTTTTCTGCTCCTTAATGTGATTTTTCTTAATGACAGTTTTACCTTTTTATGCACTTCAGTGAGGACAGTGGCGAGGTTGAGATTAGAGAGAATGTATTTTGCCTCAAAAGCCGATTAGCCTGATTTGAAAAAGAGCCAAATTGAGTCCATTCTGTTCTCATCCACAAAGACTGGGCAACAAAACATGGAATAAACGGAGCAAGGCTTTTTGTTAATTAACGTTCTGCCTTCCGTTAACTAACGTTCTTCATGTTACAGCTTTTCAAAACCCCTCAAATATACATTTAACACATTTGAAGGAAAATCATTATAAAATGTACAGTGTGAATAGTAGTTTTCCATTTACAAAACTTTTCAAAAACGATTTTTCTCTGTTAGGTTATGACAGCAAATACTGCAAAAAATAAATAAATAAATAAATAAAAAATGTAGAAATGTTTTGAATGACCTTTTATATCCCTCCCCTATCAATTAGTCTGTTCTTTACTGCCATCGTGTGGTTTTACAGGGACACTTTACTCAAATTCTAGCTAGCGACATCTCGGTGTAGGCTACTATGATTGGATTTTTTTCCCCCCCAATTATCTCAACCCTATACTAATTGTTTATTATCATTATGAATCAAAACAACTAAAACTGATATATATATATATATATATATATATATATATATATACACACACACACATATATATATACATCAGTTTATATGTGTATATATATACATATACACACACACACACACACATATATATATATATATATACACACACACACACACACACATTTTTTAAGAAAATGATAGTAATGAAATGATATTGAAAGATAATAATTAAATATAGGCTAGGCCTACTACTGCTGCTGCTACTATGCATACACACACACACACACACACACACACACACACACACACACACACACACGCACACAAATATATATATATATATATATACACACACACACACACACATGTATGTAGTAGCAGCAGCAGTAGTAGCCTATATTTAGCCTATTATTATCCTAAATATTATATTATCATTTTTTTTCTAAAACGGGTGACATCACATTTATAATTGAATACCACCAGACGGAACTACAGTGTAATTCCACCAAAATAAGTTTGTCCGGAAGTGAGAAAGTGAAGAGATGGACAGACAGAGATGCAGCTGCACCTAAATTAAAATATTAGAGAGCTGCGTCCCAAACTAGACTACACTACCTAAATTCTTATCAGGAAAAGTTATTAAAAATTATTAATTTGAAACATAAATGAACGACAAACACCCACCTTTACAGCTTTCCAACCAGAAGATTGTGACCTGCCCCCTAGTGGTTGATGCGGAACATTTCACAAATTAATATTAGCCTACATGTTAGGCTAGTTAGGCTCTAAGAAATGAAAATGCACATTTGAAAATATTCTATTGACAGCAATGAGTTCAGATGCAGAAGTAAATCTATGTTCATTAATAAAAACGCAAACATCTGTCAAATCGACCTATTATTTTAGGGTGAAATTTAAATAGCCTATCTTGACTGAATATATATATATATATATATATATATATATATATATATATATATATGAAGAGTTCAGATGCAAAAGCCTCTAAGTGCCATTTGAAATTTTCTTCTAAAATGATCATTTTTATCAAGCTTGTATATTTAAGTTCAGTAATTTCACTTAAATGGCAATGAAGATTACCTATTAATTGTCATTTAAGTGAAATTACTGAACTTAAATATACAAGATTGATAAAAATGGTCATTTTAGAAGAAAATTTCAAATGGCATTTAGAGGCTTTTGCATCTGAACTCTTCATATATACACACACACACACACACACACACTTTATCGTAGTTATAGTCAAGATACAATTTATTTAGCATTTGTGTTGTGCTACTAAAGAAAAATACTTAGCCAATTGGCCTGTATATTACAACAAAATCACAACCCTTAATTGCAGTTTATTTGTTTATTTCTCATCTTATTTCACATTCAAGCCTTTGAAATACATTAGATATCCTGAAAAGGAAGCAAACAAGATCGAGCAACTTGAATACAAACTTCGCAAGTAACTAAACTCACTGCGAGCCACAGAATGATGTGATCCATTTGATTCAACATGACAAACATTTACAAGACGTCATCATCTCACACGTGAGAGTTCGAAGGAAGAATGTTCAAGACCTCCACAATGTAATGTGGGCAGATGATGTTTTAGCACCGTTTCACCAAAGGGGACGATGAAACCATTACATAGCTGTCGGAGTCATAAGCCACTCGTCTTCTCTTGAAACTGCAAGCGTGAGTGGAAACAAGCCCTCCATTTTCCATCAAGGAAAATAATTTATGCATAGGCCTACTGAGAAAACAGCAATAGTGGTTTTGACATTTACTGCTTGCCCAAAAGCATTTCCTTTAAGTGTGCTATGAAATGTGCACTGTATAGCAGTTGCACTTTGTATTAGATCTCTACAGATTACAGAATGATTGCTTCTCTACTGATTAATCATTTGCCTAAGTATTATTGTAGATCAAAATTTTAAAACAGGATATTGCTTTACATAGACCACTACCACTTCTTTATTTGACCTGTGGCAGTTGCATAAACTTAGCCACTATGTTAAGAGACTGCCTTAAAGGGTTAGTTCACCCAAACTGTAGTCAATGGGGAATGAGATCTGTTTGATTAAAACATTCTTCCAAATATCTTCATTTGTGTTCAGCAGAACAAATAAACACATAGAGGTTTGTAACAACATGAGGGTGACTAAATACTGACAGAATTTTCATTTTTGGGTGAACTAACCCTTTAAATCTGACTGGCAATTTGTATGGAAGCTTGTTTCCGCCAAGAAATAAACATCACAATTCTGAAGGAGAGGACTATTGCGGGTTATACAGTTGAAATTTCGAAAAAAAAAAAAAACGAAAAAAAAAAAAAAAACTACCCAGCAAGCAATTTTGCGTTTAAAAGACGTCTAATAGCCGTCCAAACACAGCCTATAAGTCTAAGCTAAAACAAGGGGGTTATTAAACTCGCAATTCTGAGTAAATGACGGTATTGTGAGATATACGGCCTAAACTCGCAATTGCAAAACAAGCTTCCACAGAAACAAGTTTGCCAGGGAATAATCGGTCTTATTTTTTTCGCATTCAAATTAGACCAATCTACGCTTTTATGTAACAGTTATGACCCGTATAGAAAGAAAAAAAAAATGTAGTTGAAGCATTTTATGCAGCCGGCTACTGAGCCAAATTACATTTTTGTTGGTCTGAGTGGGTTTTGGAGATAAACTGTTTGGCCATGATTCATGTTGGTAATGCTGACAGTATGAAGAGTTTTGAAAAAAAGTGGCTTTAGTACTGAACAATGCTTGTTAGCTATGAAAAAATAAAATAAAAACAAACTGTAACAGACAAACGGGACAGATACATTCAAGTGCAAGTTAAAAGCAGATACACCTGGTGAGATGAATCAAATCACTGATTTGACGTCAGTTTGAACATCCAATGATTGCCGTTTTGGAATGTCTAGCATGCACGCGAGGCTGTCACATATGGAATTAAAATGCTGTCTAATCAATGAACGAGTCATGCATACAAGCTTCCACAGTAAAGTGCTATTATAACAATAGTTTTAAATTAAAGATAAAACCTTGGACATTACAAAGAGGGTTATAAGTCTCAAATCACAAACATGGTATTTACAGGTTCACACGCGCCTAATTGTGAGGAAATAATGGTCCCATTTAATCAGAATAAAGCAAACGCACATACAGAACCTAAAAATGCAGTGCAGATTCAAATTAAATGTGTTTGCACAATAAAAAAATAAAATAATTCAGCAATAAATTGTGTGATGAAAACACTACTGTACATCACTAATTGGCCAATAACAGTGATGTGCAAAACCACAATGACATTGCCATTCCAGACAACATACTCACCAAGGTATGCAAAGCACAAGTAATAATATTAGCAAGCAATTCTTTTCCTTCAGGGCTACAACAAAAAACCAAATATTTTAAAATTCAGAGAAGTCTAACACAATTAACTCCTTTAGAAAGCAAATACTGAGAAAAAAAAATCAATTTCCTAGGTAAAACATTTTCAGTCTCTATGGCTATGAAAGATAAAAATATAATCTGAAAATAAACACAAAAGCACAGATGTGTTTAATGCATGTACAACTGCTTAAACCTGAACAAAAAAATTAAATAAAACAAAACACCATGAACCAGCTTAAGATGGCTCTCTGGTTTCGTTCAAAGTGGTCTAGCTTGTTTAAGATGGTCTTGTTGCTATTCTTGCCGTTGGCTAGTTGGTCTCCCAGTCTGACCACCTGACAAGTGCCTAAAACCTCCATGAAACCAGCAAAACCATCTTAGGTTGTTTGTTCACCAAGGAAGTCGTTGTTTTAAAGGGGTCCTAGTTATCAAGAGTGAACCTCATCGCATTTGTTTACTTTAAAAGTAGATGTAAGGCTCAAACAAACAGCGAGCAGTCAATGAAACCCCAAGCTGACTGCTTTGATTGAACTTCACACAGTGGCCATGGCAAATTCTGCTCTTCGGGCAGCAGTCAGAGTGAAACATTCATTTGGTCTCGGTCCAAACTGCAGCCTGAGTGTCCCAAAATTTCATTCTCTCAGCCAGCGGTGACCCTGCACTCAGTAATGAGGGGGAAAAAACCAGTGTACAATACAATCAATGGCGCCATTAAACTCTTGAGGTCAAACCGCAATGCTCTGAAACGATGCACAGCAGCATGGATCCCTCTAGAACTTGTCATTCCTAATATCTGTGCAGACAACTGAGCATTAATAAATCTTTGGCTGAATGTAAATGTCCTGCTATGAGATGGATGTGAGAACCCTTTCATCCTCCCAAGCCATTATTTTCTCCTGAGTTGAGAGCGAGCAAGACAAAAAGCAAAGTCAAAGTGGCTTAGTTGTACCCTGTGCGTTATAAAGATGACAATACAAGAGTATCATTTGCAGGTTTGTAGAACCTGATAGCGGAGACATAATTTTCCTCAGTAGTAAAGTTTAAGACTAGCTAACACAAATGTCAACTAACTGGCTTCTAAACTTAAATTGTTACTAAACAAGTGGTCACATTAACTAAATCGAGCAAAAATGGTCCAATGCAGGTTTCTGTGTTGGCAAACGTGGCGTATTCACACATACAACAGGGATCTGTTGTAAAATCTGCATGGGGAAAACTTTGGCCCTCACAAAGTCCCAGATCAATTGAATTCCTATTGAATTGACTGGATTTTGCCTGCAAATCTGAACAATGTTAAATATGACTGCAACTCAACACTGGTCAAATATGGTGAACGTGATTCCGCCAAGTACATGTACATCTTTTTTGTTGATCCTGCTGGAGTAACATTCCAATCAACCAATCAGATTTGAGGGACAAGTTTACAGTTTATGTCAAGTTTAATCTTGCAACCAGGGTTAGATGCTTCTACATCAGTGTTTTTCACCAATCATTTCCCTCTGATTTTAGGGATTAAGATTCGTGTTAGAAATAGCCTAGGATTAGGATGTGTTCACAGTTGCGAGAATCCAAACCCTGGTGTGGACCAAAGAAGCGGACCGAGACCCATGTTTTCAGCTTCCAAACAAACTCTGGTGCAGTTCAACTGAAATATGAACGCAGACCAAAGACATGTAAAACAAACCAAAAACAAGATGCGACCCTAAAAAGAACAGAATTCTCAAGCATACCTGTATTTTCTTGCCCATCACAGTTTGTCGTGTGTGTCAGGGAGGGATTCCTGCCGCTGTTTTGACTCCTTTACACATTTTATAAGCTCTTCACGAGTTGTCAGCTTCATCATATACCATCATATGTTAACACATACAGCGAGAGCCTAGCACAGAGCATTGTTTTGGAAGTTCGACAAATTCCTTTTGCAAAATATACGTCATAAAAGCCGTTTTTTGGTGTTTTGTTTCTTTAGGGTTCTGTGTTAAAAATGACCAGTGAACTAAGCGAACCAGGACTTTTTTTAGTCTGGACCAAAGGAACCAAGAGAACACACCATACATTTTCAGACAGGAATGTTGTTCCAGGATCAAGAAAATATGATCCAGGAACATGTCTTACTTGGCAAAATCACGGTGGCCAATAAAAGAGAGAATAGAAAATCAAATCCTCAAGCGGATGTATCACAAACACATCATTTAGGAACATCAAAGCTGTGGATCGTGTAACATTCTGAGAGGAGCGTACGCACCAAACCTTGCGAAGGAAACCTCCATTCTCTCTCTGATTATGTGATTGAAGGCAAGCATGAAAATCTGGCTCTGAGAATGAGGGAGGTAGAGACTTTGCTTCGATTGCGATCATCGTATCATTCGTGCTCCTACAATCTGTTCCCCTTCTTCTGTCTTTCAGTCGTGGCGCCAACCCAGCCCACCCAATTCAGAAACACTCTCCCGCTCTCTCACTTTATGGCGTCATCACTTCCACACGTGTGACCCAAGCATTTGATTTGAACCGGGAGCAGCCGCCCCACCCATGGACTGACCGTATCCCATCACGTTATTGGCACTGTAGAAATTCACTCCTGTCATGTGTTGAGTCATCTGTGAGAGAGACAGCAGAAACTGTTTTTACGGGCAATTGAAAGAAAGTAACGATGGCACGTACATTTGTTGATTTCATTTGTTTTTCCCTCATGTCGTTCCAAACCTGTGGGCTTTTTTTTTTTCCAGTGGAAGACAAAAGGAGAAAATGTATACTGGTTATTTTTGTCAATACAGTTTCAATTAACAGGGACTAAAGGGACAATTAATAGGGACTGCATCTTCAGAAGCCAAACGACAACTTTGTGTGAGGAATAAAGTAATATATCAATATAATAATAATAAGCTTTAGTTGTGTGTAATGTTGCTGTTTGTGTGTAAAAAAGATCGCTAAGACATGCTAAGCGCTGCCAATCATAACACACTGGGCTAGCTAACCAATCACAGCATATTTCGTATTTTGGAAGGAGGAGCTTCAACTAAACTGGGAATAAACAGCACATTCAGGACAGAATGGGAGCTGTAATAATGTGAAAAATAATGTGTTTTTTTAAGATTCAAGCATGAAATCATATTCTAATACACCCCAAAAACAAAATCAAGACTTTGGAAAAGGGTATAGTAGGACCCCTTTAAAATGACAAATGTTTCTTGTTACCAGTGTTTATCATAACAAAAAATACTGGAACATTTTAAAAATTCTAATATTAGGTCAAGTCAAAGAAACCCATAAAAATGTAATAGAACAAGGTCTGGCAGGTCAGTTCAGAACAGGTTAGTTCGCAGGAGTTTGTTATCAATTTTACAGGTTTTCAAGGTTTTCCAGAATGCGTGGAAACCCTTAAAGTTTGGGGAATGGGGACAGTAAGATTTTCTAAATGTTTTTGAAAGAAGTCTCTTATGCTCGCCAAATCTGTATTTATTTGAAAACAATAATATTGTGAAATATCATCACAATTTAAAATGCCTGTTTTCTATTTTAATATTTTTAAAAATGTCATTTATTCCTGTGATTTGAAATGGAACAATCTGAAATGGAAAACTTTTGTAACATTTTAAATGTATTTACTGTCACGTTTGATCTTTAAAGCATCCTTGCTGAAAAAAAGTATGCATTTATTACAAAAAAAGTAAAAAAAATAAAAATAATAATAAATAAAAAAATAGTGTTGCTATATTCAATTTGTGAATAAATCTTTTGAGTCAGATGTTTTCAATCAGTTTTTGATCTGCTTCACACAATTGCTCTCAATGATCCATTCACAAATGTGATCGATCCGGTTTGCAAGTTCAACTCAGTGATCCGGTCGCTGCAGTTCCCACTGCTTTGAATGAGAAACATTATCACTGGAAGAACATTATCAGTGAAAAACAACTCTGTTTTGTGTGAGAAACAAATCAAAATGTATCATTTGAAATATGAAGGATTAAAATATAGCACATAAGTCGTTCAGAATTTTTTTTTTTGTGTGTGTGTGTATGTGTTTCTTTTTAAGCATGAAAGCTCCAGTCTAATCATGATATCTGAATGGGAAAAAAAAAAACAATCAGTACATTCTCTCAAAAAAATGTATTCTTTTGTGTTCTACGGAAGAAAGAAAGTCATACCGGTTTGAAACATCGTGAGGGCGAGTAAATGATGGCAGATTTTTTGGTTCACTATCCCTTTATTGTGTGTTTTTGAAGTAACAAACCCAAAACAAACTCAAAAATGGATTTGAGTTGAATGTGCCTAAAATGATTTGGTCTATCAGTGTGAAAAAAAGCCTGAACCATTTGCTCAGTTTCAAGTCAGCACGGTGATGGTGATTCCAGCGCTTGTTACCTGGCTTATGTTCCACTGCATCTGTTGGGCTCCATATGCCTGCTGAGGAACTGCTGCCATGCTTCCCATCATCCCATTCTGCATTCCTATTATGCCCCCTTGCACGCCTGCCATGTATGGAGGAGCAGCTGGCACTCCGGTCGGCGGCATGACACCTGCCTGTCCCACTATATTCATCTGTGGAGCCATCATAGGCCCCATCATGCCCTGCTGGGCAGCCAGGGCCTGGTATTGGCCATAGCCTGCAGCAGGGACATAGCCCATCTGGGTTGCTCCCATGTACATGCCAGCTAAAACAGAACCATATAAACATGCATAAACAGTACAAAGCAACAGAAAAGAGCCATAGTTTGAGTAAGTAATTTAAAATTTGGCTTCATCCTGAAACTAATCTCACCATGAGCGGCCATGTTTGTTTGTGGCGCTGTACTGCTGTACAGGGACAAGATTGAGTCCTTTGACATCTTCTTTCCGCTGTCCTCGCTTTTGGTGGGGGGATCCAGGAACAGGCTGAGGTTTTCGGGCACTGACGCTGCTACCCGTCCAGTGGGCATGGACCCTGAGTTAGACTACAGTGGAAAAAACAAACAAAAAACACTTTAACTATTTGGTTTACCCTCCAAAGATTCATTCAAGATAGTAAAACAAAATTAGGACTGAAGTGAAAACTCAATGAACGTCTTTACCGTGCTCCTGGCGGAGTTTGAGCTGCTGACGGCAGCAGGCAGAGAGGTGAAGAGGTCAAGGGCGGGGCTAATTTCAGTACTCTGTTTGCCATTGGACACAGGAGCTTGAGGAGCTAGGGCATCTGGAAAAGAGAGTTTCAACATCAAAGGTCTATATTGTGGTTGTACCGATATGTATGATGTGTATTTTAGCATGTTACCTAGCCCTAGCAAGTCATTAACAGACTGTGACTGCTTCTTTGGAGTGTTTTTGAATTGCTGTGGCTCGTCTTTTTTCTGCAAGAAAAACAAATATAGTCTTGCTCGTGCTTTAATAAAAAAAAAACAAAAAAAACATTGTTTTGTTATTTCAAAGGGGTCCTATTATGCTTTTTTACATTTTCATTTAGTGTGTATATTGTTGCTGGTTGAACATGAACAAGGTCTGCAAAGTTACAAAGCACAAACGCCATTGAAACACCTCAATTGTAGTCTTGAGTTTTCTTTTGGGAATATACAAATAATATAGTTTAATAATTCCTGCCCAAGGTATAGACAAAAAAGGAGCGAGGCATGGTTGATTTGCGATAGTGGTATATTGAAATTTGCAGTAAGAGGCTTTTCTTATGGTAAGGGACATTTCTGAAACATGCTCAAAGTACTTGACCAATAACAACACACTGATCCAGCTGACCAATCAGAGCACACTGTGCTTTTTTGGAAGATGGGGCTTCATAGAGACTGTGTTACTGAAAGACTGGGAAGAAAATATTGTGTTTTGAATTATCAAGCATGAAAACCAATTTTAGTAGACATGAAAAACTAAATTCAGACTATGGAAAAGACCATAATAGATCCCCTTTAACAAAGTTGTTTAATTGTCCATCAATGCATGCCAACCCAGAAGGCTTCATCAGGAATTTCTAATGTCCTCATAATAATGAAAGTGTTTTGCCAATGTTTTCTGTTTTTGAGCATGGGTGTTCAATATAAGGTTGGAACAAGACGTAGAGTCTCTTTAATTAATATTAGCCAAAGACCCATTTGTACTTGTAAAATCAAAACCTGCTATTTTAAAAACTATTAGAAATTCCTGAGAGAATGCTGAGAGGTTTAAAAATGCTAACTCTCTTCTGGGTTTTAGGTCTATAAACTAGTGGTTCTCAACCAGAGGGCCAGGACCCACTACTGAGCCTCAGGAAACTTCCAAGAAAACCTCAAGATGGGTATCACTGAAAAACTATTGTTTTAATTGAGAAACATATAGTTCTTGAAACTTCTCAGATCATTCAATCACAGTTTTAATTTAATTTATCAATACTTCCTGTTTCCATTAATAAAAAATGCTGCTTTGTCTAGAGCAGTTGTACGTTGTACATATATATATATATATATATATATATATATATATATACTGTATATACACATACCAGACCCAATATTGGCGAGGATTCAAGTAAAAAAAGTTTGAGAACCACCGTTTAAACAGAACGGCTCAATTGCAGAAACCCACCAGCTTCATCTTTTCAAAAACAACAGGAGCCCCTTTCGTTACAGTCTCACTCTTTTCTTTCTGAAAATGGAAAGGAAATTAACTTTATTCTTTTACAAAAGTCAAACTAACAACAAAACTAAAATGAGAATTGTATAATATCAAAATCTCTGGACTTACCCTAAAGGACTGGATATCAATGCATTTATCCATATATTTCTTCTTATCATATTTGTCACGGATAAAAATCTCAGCAGCTCTGTATCGCGGTGCTTAAGGAAACTTTTAACACGAGGGGAGAATAATCTTAAACATACATGCACCGTTTTCCACAGACGTGCTAAAGGATACTGGTCTGTCTCTGGGCGCTGGAAGCACTCTGGTAAAAAGGCCTCGTATAGTCGCCGAGCTTTGGTGTTCCCCATCTCCTGAACAGACTGAGCACAAACACATCTATAGATCATGATCAAATAAGAAACAATGCCCTTTCTACTGGGAACCTTGATCCAAACAGCTTACCTGTATCTGCTCATGAGTCCACTGGTCCAGGTTTACAGATTTAACTCGTGATATGTGCACGCCAAGATTCCGATGGATTCCCGCACAGCGGATACAAATGAAGATTCCAAGATTCCAGGATGCCCATCTGGGACCTGATGGGCAAAACATAAAAATAAAGACATTAGAGAAATCAAATATTTAATTAGGACCAGTTTTATCTACCTTTTTTTAATTCTAAGACTATTAAATTGTATTAATAATTAATATTGAAATGGCAACATTTATTTCATTTATATATATATTTCATAATTTAAAAAAAAAAAAAATATATATATATATATATATATATATATATGATATAGGCAGTATTTTTACAAAAAATATTAATCAGCACAACTGCTTTTGACATCGATGATAAAAATAATAAGATAAAAAAGTTCCTTGAACAGCAAATCAGAAAAACTGTAAAAATAGAATTTCATGAATGTGATCAAATAGATTAAACATTACTGAATGTTTAAAACATTACAATGTTTAAAACATAAATATTACAGTTTTTTTTATCAAATAAATGCAGCGGTGGTGATCAAATTTTTGTGAATATATTTATTGAATAACTATAATCATATTTTTATGTATATAATCATTGTAGAACAACTATTTGACGTTAATATTCATTTTTAATAAAGTTATATAATTACAGATTTCATTATACTTTAAAATGCAGGAAATTCTTTCTTCCTGTCATTAAAATTCAACTTCCTGTGTATTATTGCAGAAATGGATTGGAATTTTGACACTAATATTCATTTTTATAAAGTTATAAAAAATCTCATTATGCTTTAAAATGCAGCAAATTCCTCTTCCTGTCATTAAAATTCAACTTCCTGTGGATTATTGTAGAAATGGATTGGAATTTTGACGCTAATATCATTTTTATAAAGTTATACAAGATTTCATGATCCTTTAAAATGCAGCAAATTCCACTTCCTGTCATTAAAATTCAACTTCCTGTGGAGTGTGGACAGTTCAATTCAAATTCCACCTTTCATGAACTGAAATGGAGCCAATTCTTAAAACCAGAATTCATCCCAACCCTCGCTGAAGCAATTTAATGAGTCAGTGAAGAAGAGAATGGACAGACAAACACAGACGGAAGGCTTCAAGAGATAGAGAGGGCTCCTGCTGAGGACTCGGAGTGATATTTACATTCTCTTGCTTGGCATTAGTAAAGAAAATAACAAGCTTCACACACCGCAATCACTAATCCAGTTTGGCCAGTCATGTGGACACGCTGGCACAACGCTGATAACACACACCCACACCAGCCCCTGCAGCATCTGTACTCTTAAATCACACACACAGGCACTCTGTCATGATAAAGCCCACACTACCTGCAACAAAGAACCATGCCTGAAGGTGCATATATGTGTAGTTATCACCATTTTTTCCCTTTTCCTACTTCAAACACATTATGCAACCATACTCCGTTGAGACACAGACAAAGCTTCAAAGACAACGCCGAAGACAGTCTCCTCTCTGAGCACAAGCACATTTGAAGCAATAAGTAGTTGAAGCAATACCAATTTTGGCCATTAGGTGGCAGCACCATATTAAGTTATTGCTCTGGATGCTCTCCTGATGTGATGTCACAGGATTGTTGTGGCAACATTTCCACTAAATTGCTTAGGATCCTCTGGAACAAGTGCACTGCATTGTGGGACGGTCATACCTGCTGTTTGCAAAGTGCACCTGCTGTGGTTATATATATATCTGAGTGGATCTAATTCGACACAAAATTGACAGTCTAATCAGATGACACACCCATGGGCCGCTCGCTGACTGTCTCATGCGTACTGCACAAACAACTGAAAAGCACTTCTGAAAATAACTAGGTTAAGTTATCAGATGATGGTGAGACTGGATTTGACAAAGTTGCCTTGCATTGGATCTTGGCAAGTTGGAAAGAGAAGTGTAAAATAATTTAACAAATTAATTTTATAAATAAAAAAATCCATAACGTTTTGTTCTTCTATTAAAAAAAATGCAATTTCCAATTTTCAGCATTGATAATAATACGTTTGATTGATCACTATAATCAGCATATTAGAATGATTTCTGAAGGATCATGTGACTGAAGACTAAAGTAATGATGCTGAAAATTCAGTTTTGCAATCACAGGAATAAATTACAATTTAAAATGCAGGTGAGCATCATACACTTTGGTAACATAGTTCATCCATGAATACTACTAACAAAATACATTGTGTATTTTTATCACAATGTATTTTATGTTGTCCTAAATATGTTACACTATGTAGTCATAAGAGATGAGCTTGATTCACTCAAAAGAATCGACTCGGAGTCATTCAAACACTCAAAATAATATATTTTTTTAAATAATTTCCTATGTTCAAAAAGCAGTAGGAAGAAGTTTATTACAAACTCTTCAGGTCCTACACCTTTCTCTATTTTTTCATTTAGTTATACAAAACAATTTGACTCTTCTCTATTTTTTCATTTACTTATAGAAAACAATTTGACTCTTCTCTTATACATACGTCTTTACATATACTGTATTTCAACTTACCTAGTTCACATAAACCCATACATTCACATAGAAACAAATGCATATCATGCATGCAATACTGTAATATTGTAACATACTATCACCTCGAGGCCTTTTTATCACCTCGATTCATTCAGGAGTCAGACTACACTGGTCATGCTGTATGGTTTTGATTCACTCAAAAGAACATTAGTACCAAGTAAACGTGTTCACACAACATATTTATTTATTTTAGTGTGCTATTATTATCTGAGCAATTTCAGATTCACTCACCCCTAAAAACCCTTTTCCTGTGTAAGTGGGCGAACGTAGAAATCTGGAAATCAATGGCCAGGCTAGACAAGACCATCTAACCTGGTTTGCTTTAAATATTTCTTTGTACCAAAAAAGCGCAGAAAGCCTAAATTCAATCATGAAATCTGAAATCTAATATTTATTCAACTATAAATGCGTTGATTTGGCCCTTAATGGAGCACCAGGGCTTCGGTTCACTTCTGCACTATGCACACGGTCACATTCACATCTGAGATCTGGCATGGACTCTAATGTGAGATGGCCCCGTGCCAGAGGAAAGGGATATTCCCAACGGGATGCACGTTGATTCACTGCAGCTGTATAAAACACCATTTTCATGAGCTCGTCTGTGCTGCAGGCCTCTTTAGATTACTCATTCATCCCCCACCTACAAATATCCTCTCTCTCTCTCTCTCTCTCTCTCGGTTTCCGCATGGCTAAGGGGTAATCAGCTTGCGAGGTATTACTGGAGGACGTCAGCTCAGGCACAGGGAGAGAGAGGGTGTTTGCATGTGGGATGGAGAACATGTGAGTCTGTAATAAACAGTCATGTGGAGTCAGGCAGGTTTCAGGGTGAATCACAAAAGAGATACAGAACAGGACGGAGAGAGATTCACACATGCTGTTCACACTTGTTAACCTATTAGAGAGAAGCAACAGTGAGAGCCGGAGAAAGGACACATGCCATTGCCAAGCCACCTGTTTATTAGCGGTAGCCTACTTGTTGCTAAGCCAAAAATCACCATGCTCATACTTAGGCATTTGAACCCAGTCAGTGACTCCTGCACTGTTTTTATACATTTATTTTTACATTTATTCATTTAGCTGACGCTTTTATCCAAAGCGACTTGCAATTGCTAAATATGTCAGAGGTCGCATGCCTCTGGAGCAACTAGGGGTTAAGTGTCTTGCTCAGGGACACATTGGTGTCTCCCAGTGGATTCAAACACGGGTCTCTCACACCAAAGGCATGTGTCTTATCCACTGCGCCATCACCAACCCGGGTAGATGTTGAAACAATGGAAAAACTTCCCATTTATATATATATATATATATATATATATATATATATATATATATATATATATATATTTATATATACTTTTTTTACTCACAATTTGTACAGTGTCCCAACTTTTTTGGAATCGGGTTTGTATATATATATATATACTATATATGTGTGTGTGTGTGTGTGTGTGTGTGTGTGTGTGTGTGTGTGTGTGTGTGAAAAAGAGGGAAATCACTTTTGGGGAAAAACAAACAAGATGGCATGATGGTCCAGGAAAAATAAAAGAGAGTTTTGCTGTGTTGTTGTTGATCATGTACATGTTCTTTTATGCTTTGCAAATAAAAATTTAAGGTATTTATTTTTTTATTTTTTGGTAGACAACAGTCAAGTGGAATTGAGCGTCACGGATCAATAACAACTCAAGTGGAATTGAGCGTCACAGATCAATATTTACTTGAACTGACCACTGTCACAACTAAGGATGCACTGATATGAAAATGTTGGTTGATAATGATAAATCTTAGCCGGTAACCGCAACCAATATATCGGCCAATAAAGATAAATATGAGATAAAAATGTGTATACATACATGTATACATAGACACACACACACACACACACACACACACACACACACACACGCACACACACACACACGCACACACACACACACACACATATATATACTGTATATGATCCATAATTGTACTAAAACACATGCATACAACAAAATTCACAACATTCTTTTACAGAAGTGTTACAGTAGTATAATATAAATGAAGCAATTTGACACTTGCGCGGCACATGTTGCACTTAACTGTATCACAGCATGCATCTGAAGTGTCTCAGCTTAAAAAAATAAACCATTATTTATCGGCTTTAATATATTGGCCAAATTTTCTTATCTTCTCAATAACGATAACATTAAAAATTAACATACATCAACCATCACTGATATAGTGGCCAATATATGCATCATAAAAATACTTTATACTTGTATATATTTATGAATATAATAATATAAAGTTAATGAGTGAAAATATCAAAAATATTATAAATACATATATACGTTTATATATTTATAAATGTAAAATCATTTTATACTATTTATTTATGGGATAAATATATAAATGATATACTATATAAAATGATATCCCATATAAATGCATTAAAACAAAAAATATATATTTTATATTTATATGTTTAATACAAATTTTATACATTTAAATTATATATAATGTACACATTAATATGAAAACTTTGGGGTTGGCAAAAAAATGTTTTCGAAAGAAAATGCAAGTCGCTTCTGATCAATTTAATGCATCCTTGCTGAAAAATTATTATTAGTATTAATTTCTTTATGTACTGAACCCATGAAACTTTTTAAAGTTAGTGTGTAAAAATATGTAGTGAACATGTATAATATTGAGCTGAGGCATTGTGGGTAGGCAGATCTGAGCTACTGGTAGAGAAAAAGCCCTGCATTTTCTTGTACACTCCAGGCAACTGTTGATCTATATAAAAGAGTGAGCAGCTTTCCCTCCAGCTTGACGGGGAGCCTTGTTTACCGTCTCTGTGGAAATTTACAGGGCCGTAATGTTGCTGTTAAAGTTACATTAACATGCTGTGATCTACAATGTGTTCCTCTGACAGAAAGCATTCTAGTCTGCCAAAAGAGAGATACGAGTGTACCTGAATCAAACAACTAGACGGACCAACTCAGAAAAGAAACATGGACTTTGGTCGGACCTGCTGTGAGATGATGTGTACTGAACAAACACGGCCACACACAAACACAGATGCACACACACTCTTTAAGTACGGAACTGAAAAAGTGCAACTTGTTTGTTCAGTACAGACCTTATTTCAAATTGCTTTCTTAACAGTATCCAAACATACAGACAAACCTGCTCATGACGCCACATGGATCAACACATCGCATGCCTTAAAAGGAGCAGTTTTAAAAAAGCTTTTGCTGATAATTTACTCACCCCCATGTCATCCAAGATGCCCATGTCTTTCTTTCTTCAGTCAAAAAGAAATGAAGGTTTTTGATGAAAACATTCCAGGATTTTTGTCCATAAACGCACTTCAGTGCACTTCACTTGAACCGACTCAAACGGTTCAAGGTCCAAATGACCGTTTCAGTGCAAACTGCAAACTGTTCAAAGGGCTTTAAATGACACCAGACAATGAATAAGGGTCTTATCAAGCGTCATTTCAAAAATAAATACAAAAGTTTAAGTTTTATAAGCACACATGCTCAACTTGCTCTGTGATGCGCGTTCGTGACTCTCCTGTTTGAACATTCAACAAACGATATGAACGAAATGACTTGAAAAAAGATTTGTTCATTTTGATGAACGAGTTCGAACAGGAGAGTCGAGCAAGGCGAGCATGTGAGCTTATAAAACTTAAACTTTTTTATTTATTTTTTAAATGACCGATCGTTTCGCTAGATAAGACCCTTATTCATCATCGGGTGTCGTTTAAAGCCCTTTAAAGCTGCACTGAAACTCTCATTTGGACCTTGAACCGTTTGGTTACCAGTAAAGTGCAAAAAATCCTGGAATGTTTTCATCAAAAACCTTAATTTCTTTTCGACTGAAGAAAGAAAGACATGGACATCTAGGATGACATTGGGGTGAGTAAATTATCAGCAAAAGTGTATTTAAAAGTGAACTATTCCTATAAAGCAATGTTATCATCAATGGGCTGGGCAACCAGAAGAGACACAGGTCCCACAACTGATCTAAAGTATCCTGATAGGAATTTGTTGCCCATTCTCAATGGGAAAGTGCCCAAGCAACACTGCTCAAAAAGTTGCCTGTGTATCACTTTAATAATCTCAAGTTTTGGATCACAGAGAAAAGCATTGTGAGGAAAATCACACACTGTCTATGTAGGCACTACATTTGAATTTGAACTTACTTTGTTACCATTAAAAAAGTATGTTCTATATAATATGAATTAATGAAATTCTGATGTACTGCATCAGCCAATTTATTATTGTCACATGACATTTCAGTTGTGTTTCTTCACTGCCATTCATTAATCCTCCCCTGTGGCCTCATGGGACAGTAAAGTGTCCATTGAAAGCACACTTCAGAATCTGGCCGGAAGTAGTAGGTCATCTTTTCGCCTGCTGTTTTTCTAATACTATTCAAGTGGTTCAAGGTCCAAATGAGAGTTTCAGTGCAGCTTCAAAGGGCTTTACACGACACCCGAAGATGAATAAGGGTTTTATCTAGCGAAACGATCGGCCATTTAAAAAATAAATAAAAAGTTTAAGTTTTATAAGCACAAATGCTCGCCTTGCTCTGTTCTGTGATGCGCGTTCGTGACTCTACTGTTGGAACTCGTTCATCAAAATCGATCAACAAACGAAATGAACGAAATGACTCGAAAAAAAGAGTCATTCGTTCTTTTTGATGAACGAGTTCGAACAGGAGAGTCGAGCAAAACGAGCATGTGTGCTAAAACTTACACTTTTGTATTTATTTTTTAAATGACTAATCGTTTCATTTCGATTTCGGACGAAGCGTCGGTTTCTCCAACTCGGATGAGGGAGTGTTAGCCTGCCGGGCAACCAGTTTCTTTTCTGAAAGCTACAGGGCTTCTCACACCCCAAAATATCCAGAGGATATGAAATGACTCTGGCACCCCTCAAAGCAGATGGACTTTTTGGTTTATTCAGGATTGAAATTCATAAAGACAGGCCTTGTTTTTAATTATGCAGGCATGAACTTTCAGTGTCCCGCCATTATCGGTATTAAGACTACACTTTGACTTTCATGCTAATCTCCAAAGCCGCCTCGACACCTGGAATGTATAACATATAAATTTCCAGACATTACAACAATAGGGTTTCATAAACAGTGAAAAGAATGTGAACAAAAACGGCCTAGTTTGGTTTCTACTTCTATTTTCGGTTTGCCTTTGTACCAAATAACCAAAAGCTCAATAGAAGTCGCAAATTAAAAGCCACATCATTAATAATTAGGGCACTTCACAAAACAAATTTAAGATACATTTTCCTTGTAACC